CTACAGTGAACAGGGTGGCTTTTTCTAGTAGTGCAGCTTTGCTGTGCAGCTTGTGGATTTAAATGGCTCACAACAGGTCACAGATCTGATGAAGCAGTTTTCCTTCAGTGCTGAATAGTACTTTCCCTGTATGGGCATTTATTTCTCCATAAGCCAACAGGTTATATAGTTCTAAGGTTGTCTTGTGGTTTTGTTTTTTGGGGTTTTTTTCCCCTCTTCTCAAACACACACGTATCCTCAGTACCGTTATCAGTCTGCTTAGGCAAGAACAGCAACAGGATTTGTTCCTTCTAAAGTACAGCTCTTATATTCTTCAATTATTCTGACATCAACAGATGATTTATTTGTGGATTCTTAACATTTGGGTCCAGTTGGGATTTTTATTCCTTTCTGGAAAACTAATTATAGAAGTTACGTATTTCACGTAATTCCAGTAGCTACATACCATCCGTCTGAAAAGGCAGCTCAGAGAAGTCGGCAAGCTCACTCCTGGATTCTGTGCTAGCATACACCATCAGCCACTCAAACCATCAAACCCTGCAGCACAGCTCCAACAGCAGCAGCAATTATTCAAACAAAGTTTACTACTTGCAGCTAAAAGCTGCCTGTATAGCTGTTCTATAGTGAGTCAGAAAACACAGATCAGGTACCTCACTGTTCCACACAATGCAGGGGGGAAGAAAAAAAACAAAACCAAACTAGTCTTGGACAGAAAGCAAGTAGTATTGCTCCTGTAATTAGCATATTTCAGCAGATGCTTGATAATGTGTGAGCTTTTCCATTGCTGTTGCTCTGCTAATAAACTTGCCTCATTTAAGCTTTCAGAAGTAGTTTTCTGATGCTACCCACACTAGAATTTGTTCCAGCATCACATCAGATCACAAGCAATATCTGACCATACCTTGTGTGGGGTGTCTCTCCACTCCAGGAAGAACTGCCACATTTGGCAACTAGCAACTAAACTATTTCTCCTGAGAGTCTGTGAAAACACCGTTAGTGAGTGAGCTATATAAGAAAATACTGCAGACATCCCAGAACTTTGGTTCTCTGTGATATTTGTATGGCACCACAGTACACAGCACAATGGCTGGAGCGGAAGCATCACTTAGTCCTGTTCTGATTTACAGTGCACAGATGTTTTGTTTCCCCTGCGGGCAACATTAACATTGAAATATATTCAAGATACAGGGTTTTGTAGATGCTAACTGCTCTGAAATTTTAAAGACCATCTTGTGCTTAGGACTTCAGGAGAAGTATTTCAGTGATTTTGATGTGTACTGAGCTTCTGTGGATCAACATCTCCCTACCTCTTCATTGTGAAGTCAAACTTTATGCAGAAAATACAAGTATGAAATTTTGCTTTTTAAAGTCTTTAACAGCATCAAATGTAAGTAACATTCTCAGTAACTTTTGCTTCCTTTTCACCTTTAGAACCATGAATACGGGAAAGCAGCAGCATTGTTAAAACACATTTAGCTTATTTGCTTATTAAAGATTGGACTCCTTAAATACACTGCTTCAGTTTTCAGAAGGCAGAGAAAGACGAGCAAAACCAGTTACATGCCTAATATTTGATTTTTATCCTTTCAGGTTCAGTCCTGATCTAAAGGCAGCTCCTTTGTTACTTGAAACAACCAAGTCAGAGGGCACTCACAAGCTGTTTCCCTATTTCCAAGATTTAGGGAACTTAGAGAAAAAGATCATAGCGGGTCTTCACTTCCAGCATTTACTGTTTGTCAGATGTGCAGGTCTAGACTTACTTTCTGTGAAGCACTGAGAAATGGTGAATATTTATAACCAATTCAGATCATCTTAAACTACTGCAGTAGTCTCATTCACAGAGTCAGAAGTTCCATTTCCTTGTGTTTTGAAAGGTCTACTCCATTTTAATATAGCAGGGTTGGGTTTTTTATCATGTGCCATAGTTCACATAGTTGTTTTTTTAAAAAAAAATAATTAAAGACTTACTGACAAGTTTAAAGTAACAAGCATTTCAAAGTCAAGTCCATTATAGTTCATTTAATCCAGACTTGCATCCCTTGAGGAGTGTAAAAAAAAAAAAAACCCGAAAAAAACAAAACAAAAAACCCCAACAGGCTACAATGTTAAAAAGTTGCAGTACAATAGCGGAGCTATTCCAGTAATGGTCTCTGAATAGAATTTGGGACCATATTCCCTCCCCTTCCTCCCCTCAACTACTCACATTTTTTACCTCTTTCCATGTTTACGTATATTTTGAATATCGTTGCTCTGTTTTGGCTCAGTGAATCTTCAATGCAGATATTCAAGTATTAAGAAAATGCAGCTGAACAAGGATATGTGTCCTCATAGTACAGTTTACAGAGAAGCACAATATTGACTAGTCTGCAGTATATTCTACCCCAAATCCCCGAAGAAAACTTTTTGACTTTGGGATCTGTAGCCTCCTTCCAGAGCTGGTGAAGATCATCTACGTGTCCATGAGATGTAATCATTTTGTTATAAATGCAGGGATGATATGGAGCCTTTCCTTCCCCAGAAAAAAATACATGATATTGTGGAACAATTCCCATTTTATTCGCACAGAGACCCATGAAAACATCATCTATATAAAGACTTGTATTGAGAGTCAATGAGGCCTCATATACTTTAGCTGCTACATCACTGGATATTACATAGGCAGCTCCTGCTGTGTAGTCAGGGTAAGAGGGCCACTGATACATTTCGTATGGAACATAGTATTTGCTACTCCTGTCTCTTACGGGAGGGGATCCACGATGGACACGACCAATCCAGAGATCTTGAACACCCATTTGTGCTAGACTTTGGAGATAAGCGACAAGATTTGGCATATGGATAAATATATCATCATCTGCAGACATAATGAACCTGGCATGAGGACAGTAGGCATTCACCCAGCTAAACTGCAACAGCAATTTAAGAGTCAGATTGTGAAAAGTATCCAAGAAGTCTTGCTGAATCAAATCATGGTATTTTCGGTCTTCCAGCTGAAGTTCTCTTTGCAGCTGCATTTGCTGCAGACCTGTTGGTTGCCCTAAAGCAAAGAGAGTTTTAATGCTGGCATTAAGCTGAGCACGAACATACTTCTCGTTACCCCAAGTTTGTCGAATTGCATCCCTCCGATGACGGTTTTCAGGAGAAGTCTTCACAAACAACAGCAGAAGGACATCCTGCTGCTGACATTTGTCTCTGTGGTTGATCAAGTACTGGTAGCTTGACACTCTGTCCAAGTTATCCCTGTTGACAGACAGGCTGTCATTCACAAAATGGTAGCTATTGATGAGGTATCTGTATGAATAGGACTTCATATGGCTCACAACGTGATTATCCAATGGTCCCCAAAAGATCATGAGACACAGTATGAAGCAAGTGGCAATAATCTGCAAAAAATGGCATCTTCTGACTCTTCTGGGACTAGCAAACATTCTGATGCAGTTTCTGTAATTCTTATTCTTGTTCAGAATCAGTGTTTTTATTGTGCCTGTGTTTTAGTTTAAGAGCACTGTGTCACCCCTTCAAGACAAGTGTCCATTGTAAGGCATGTTGTCTTTCATTCAGCGTCCTTTCATTTAGCTTTGTTCACAGGTTTCACAAGTCATCTTTCTCAAAAAATGTTTTTCTTTGATAGAAGGATTGCAGACAGCTTTGAAAGATGAGACTTGCAGAGGAGTATTTTCCTTTGGGGGCATCTTGAAGTGAACTCTACAGTTCTAAATCAGGTCTTCTCACGTGTTTCTTTCCTTCATGAAGACTAACACCTACCAACTGTAAAGGGGGAAAAAAGGAGAAGAGTTTTAGTGAGCTGTTATTAACACATCTGCTCTTAGGTTTGATCAAGGAAAGGAGCTGACTACTCAGACACTCCCCATCACCACCCACCTACACCCCCCCCAAAACTGTTGGCATGTCAGAGGTTGTCAGTGACCCAGAGCAAGCTTGAGGGCAGCTGGTGAAGGAGAAGGGAAACCCAACACAGAGCGTACAGTTCTGACAGAATAAACCCTGCTGTTAACCAAATGACGACAACACTTTGTTTAAATTCTTTAGGCTCAGAAGGAAGCCGCACCCTGCGAGTGACTGAGTTTACAAGTTGTCTTTGGGCAGCCTACTAAAAGGCGAGACCCAGCAGAGACCTGCGACTGCTCTTGGACATGGGAGCACCAGGCCACCACAACTGGGGCGCCCTCAAAGGCCTCACCTCCCTCACAGACACCCTCTCCTCACATCGCCTGGCTTCCACTATGTTCTCTGCAAAAAAGTCCTGGAGCCAACTGGGAAGGAGGCCAGCAAGGCAGCCCTGGCTCCAGCCTTGCTTAGGGCCACGAGGTGCAGCTTAGGCAGGGCCTCCCTCACCTCAGCACAGCTGTGCGGCCCCCTGGCCCCACTGCCTCTGCCCTGAGGGGAGGTGCCACCTCCGTGTTGTCCCCTTGCCCCTACTGCTTCTTCCTCTCTCAGCCCTGGCAGTGCCACAACAGCTTCATTACCCAGCACCTTCCCTGCCCCGGGCAGCACTGCCCTCCTGCCTCGGCCCTCAGGGCCCATCAAAGGGCAGCAGCCCTCAGACACCCACGGCCGGCCTGCGCTTGGCTGAAAAGCGTCACTGGCACAACTGTGCTCCACCGGCACCTGCTGCCAAACATCCCATCTCTACTTTTTAGCCAGTGGTGCAGAGAGAGATTGTTTGTATCCTGAGCTACAGTTAAGAGGCAGGTTATGCAGCAAATTATACCAGACAGGACCACAGACAGACTCTTCAGTTAGGCACCCCCAGCACAGATACACCCGTTAAGAGCAAAGTGCTAACGGTGCAGCGCTACCATCTAGGGTTTCAGTGAAGAATCCAAAGCACAAAAAGCCACCCAAGTCCAGCCTTCTCACCCTGCCGTTTGTAAAATAATATTGTAGCCAAAGTTGTCTCTCCTGTCTAATAAACAAGAACAGCCTGAAGCAGCAGCTACTTGTTCATCCCATAAAAACCTGTGAATAGAGTGAGCTCTCTGTTAAGCAAGAAATATAGGACTAACACCACAAGGAATGGCACCCCACAAGCTAAGCACTTCAGGTATGCAAACAGAACCCCTGAAAAAGAAGAACACAAACTATCACTTTTACATTAGGAGTTACCTCCAACACAAATGTTTTGAGATTGTTTTTACCCATTTGAGGTCTTTCAACTAGATAGCATGATCAGAACACAACAGACTACAGACATAAGAAAGCATGAAGTTATTTTTGTAGTGTAGCTATCCACCACAAAAAGGAGACTGGCTGCTCAAAATGGAAATCATGCACTGGTGCAGTTGAGGTTTGCAGTTTGTAGTGCATAACAGAAAAGCTGTATGGGCAGTTTGGTGAATAAAAGTCAGTCAGCGCTTTTTATAGTATCAGTTTAAACCCTTTTTATTTTGGAAACATGAAGTTAAACAATGCATCTCAGAGTTATAAACTCAGCAACTTTGCAATAGAACACTATTGCAAAGCTTCCTCTTGTTTCAGATAAAGCACAGAGATGCAGGGAAGCTGGAGTGTTACGGTACCTCAGATGTTTGATAGCTCCTTTTGGAGGAACGGGTCTGAAGACACCCACTGCTTCCTCACAGTGAGAATAAGTTCTGGTTTTCTCCTCTTAGATGCTTATTTGTGCTCTTTTCCAAAAATCTGTACTCTGCATAGAGTTGGCCAGTTATCACAAACATTGCAACAGCATCTCCTCAAATTAAATTAACATAAAAATATAAATTAAAAAAAAAGAAGTCAAGTTAGCCTAGGTAGTCATGCTGTCCACTGCCATCACGATAGCACGATAGATAGCTTAAAAGCAGGTGACTGACTTTTCTGAAAGTAAAGGGAGCAGGAGACAACCTGTTTAACCACTTGAACAAAGTTTACCTTGGTAAACACTGGAATCCGAGTCACCAAATAAAACATTTTTAGGTTACTTAGCTTGGATAACATATTTTGCCAACAGTCTAAAACTGCCCATATCATCTGGTAAAAGGACAGTCAACACCACAAATACAAGATGACAGATACCACTGAAGACTAGCAGTGAAACTAACCTACATGACAGTTACTGCCACTAGAGAATAATAAAAGCCTGTAGAAAACAAAAAAAACAACAAACACGCCCCCCCCCAAAAAAAACAACACATAAAAGAAAAGAAACAAAACCCACAGAAGTTACTGTGGGAACTGCTGCAATTATGGAACAGGCAGCAGGAAACAAGAGATGCACATAGACTATGTTTTCTGCTCCCTAGCACCCTGCTCCTGAACTCAGAGGTGCTGGAAAGAAAACGTCAGCCTTTCCTTGAAATAAAAACAAGCCGTAAGATCAACTGCCTGAAGGATGGAACAGTCTAGTCTGTCATTTCCTTGATCTAGTTAAGGGGAATTAGATCAGCCTTTAGTAGACAGAAGTTGCTCAGAATCCTCCTCAGAAACATACCCCTCAGGTAAAACCTTAAAATACAATTATAGATGAGCAATATGAATCAAATATAAGAAGGCCTATACCTACACCCCATCTCTCTCCAAAACAGCCTGGAGATTGGCACGGAAGGTCTCAATGAACGAGTCTCTTTCAAAGAACTTTTTATGGCCCATCAGAACTTTTTTTAGCCTATTTGCAACACTCATCCTTTGGGCTTAGTCATGCTCTGCTCCCTAAACAGAACAGGTTGAGTCACTACAGGAGCCATTCACTGCCAGCTGATTCTCAGGAAAGAAAAACACACAACAGACCTAGCAAGAGACAACACTGTAGAACGGAGATAAAACCATGTCTGACAGTCATTTTTTCTGACCATAATTAAGGTGCTTTGTCTCTTGGTGTATATTTTCTTACTTGTGGCCTGGAAGCTTTTAGATCCACTCTGAGATTGGAGAATGGCCAGGGAGAACTAAGCACCTACAGAGAGTGCCTGTAGCTGCCTTCCTTTCTGGTAGACTTAAGATTCACAACTGCATGTAGTCTTCACCCAGGTGCAAGTACTGCAAGCCTTTTTCACCTTGCAGCAATCCTACCTTTCCTAAAGGAGTTTGTTATTTAGCCTTTTGGTACTGCCACAAGCATGAGTCATTTGAATGTAGCAACTGTTTATAGTTCTGTACTTTGCATTCAGTATATATTCTGGGATGAAAGTGGAGCTAGCATAGTTTGTTATGCAAACTTGATAGTTTGTAGAGTGAGCACTGAAAAAGCAGATCCTTAGGGAGCTACTTTAAATGTCCACAAAAGTCAACATTTGAAAAAAAAGTCAGTATGAAGTTAATTTCAAGATGGAACATCGGTGTTGGAAAGTTCACCGAGGAGAGAGAGACTGGAGAGACCCTAAAGAAACATGAACACACTTCAGATGCGAAACACAAGAAACAGACCCTCACAGGAAGAACAAGGCAAGGTAACATTCACATAAAAGACACTCCAACATGGAGATTTTTCTCCCCAACCACCAGCCTGATAAAAACCTAAACCCAGGAGATATCAGCTAAAACTGCTCCAAGACAACACCCCACGGCTCCCACCTACAGATTTTGTCATGTGGCACAATACACAGGCTGGGCTTCAGTTAATCTGCACCCCTTTCATATCAACAACTCTTGGATAAAGAAAGTTCAGAAGATCTACAAGAAAGAGCACCTCAAATGTTACCTAGTTTCAAACAGAAGTCATCTGAGAGCTGCTATCTCCATGCCCATGTTCCATCCTCAGCTGTGGCAAAGAGCCACTTGGTTTAAGGGTGCAGTTCCATGTGATAGTTGAGCTCAGCCAAAATCTTCCCGCTGCCAGTTGGTGACAAGCCTTACACTAGCTCTTCCTCTAAGCCTGCCCTCTCATCCTCAACACAGAGAGCTTGCAACAGCTCTGGAGTTTATGTAGTTGTTCAACAATCCCAATTCAGCTCTTCCCCTCAAAAAGCAACCTGCTGAATCCCTGAAGAGACTATCAGGAAGTGGTTAATTTAAGCTGTGTCTAAAGCCTAACCTAAGTGCACAAGAGGACTCAAGCGTTTCTTTTGTAGAACCAGATGAAACACACATTGTTTGTAAAGCTTTCCGTACCAATTTACATACTCCTTACACCCATGCACCAAAGGAAATCTAGTCAAGTTAGCACAAAAATAAGTCATCGAAACACAAAATTACATGTTTATCAAGATTTTTCCTTTACAGTTGGCTAATTAAAGGGTAAGAAAGTCTGTGCCCAAGTTAATGGAAGCAAAGCCTGAATAGGCATTGCTGCTTACAGCCTTAGCTACAAGATTATGTAACCTCGGTTCCTGTTACCATTTTTCTGCTGCTGACATGTCTTCACAAGTCATGCAATTTGTCGTTCCTAACCCAGCCTATGTACTCCTTCATTTCCCAAGAATTTCTTAATGTATAAGAAGTTGCTTTGAAACTAATCTTCAGGTTCCTTATA